TGATAACAGACCAACGTTCTTATGTGTACGCTTCATTTATACTCCGCCAACGAATATATTATTTGTGACTCCGAGAAATATTCGATGAAAAAAAAAAAAACTTATTACAAAACAGAAAAGTCTACTTAACAGAAATAATTTTTATATTAAACATTTTTTTTTATTTCAAGAATTTTTATTTAAAAAATGTTTGATTTTCAAATTTTGTCGATGTCAAAACGTTATGCTTATAATATTTGAATAAAATACCAATACATCAAATGTTCAATAAATAAACGATAAATGTGATTTACGACTCGGTAAATTAATTTAAAGTATTAATATTTGAGATATGGAATTTATTATACTTAATAGGAACGCAATATGAATTATGATTTCTTATAAAATTCATTATTTCGCAAAAATCGATTATTTATAGTATTTGTTCTGATTTATATAACTATATCACAAGCATGCTTATTCGTTTTTATCCTTTATCACCGCGTAAAAGCGACCGCATGGCATCGCAATAGCCGAAATCACCTATGAGTTTCAAACTCTAAAGGGTTTGATTGCAATATCGCGCTATTCTCTTAAATTAAACGTGCCACAAAATTGCTATTCTATCGCACGTCGGACTACAAAGTAATTTACGAAATTGCACGAACTTTCTGTCGCACAACGCAAATTAGAAAGTTATTTAATATTGATTCTAAATGGTATGAAATTGTATCATGCCGAAAATCTTTCTCGTACATATGTGTAGTGATGTTATAATCACGACATTCTTATTTCTTTGGAAGAAAAGCGTCTTTTATATTTGAATAAATTACTTTTAATAATGTTCTATAATTTTATTGATGAAGCTCAATATATCATCTCAGATCAATTGGTTTGTATAACGCCATAATATATCTAATCTTCTTTAAGTCGCATCAATAAAAAACATCATTAAATTTGTATGTATATATATTTGTATGTATATATATATATATATATATATATATATACCCTAGTTCTTAAATAGAAAATCTCGATAATTAAAATTAAAATACGAAAATTAAAATAAAAGGTTTAATTTTTATTTTATTTCTGGGTCTATTTTTGTAGCGATTTTTTTGGAAAAGATTTTATGTTTTAGAATTAATCGAGAATTGTGAATAACAAATTAATTATATTATTATATAACCAAATTGCATCGATGAGAATAAATTAATTAAATTCATCATTACGTTTCAAGACTAAAAAAGATTTCGGCACGGTTTGCAAAATTAAATATGTATATAAATTCACACTGAAATATTTAAGCACTAAGCTTGACCAAAATACAGAATTTCTCTTATTTAATTAATGATATTAATTTTAATCTTTTTGAGATAAAGGCACTTATCGTTTTCGTGACCATAGGGTCATGGGAACTCGGGGGGAGATCGATCGGGGGTTCAATCACCGCTCTTTAGACACGGTTCAATAAGCCCTATCAGAAAACTAACGAGATTTCTTGTTGTTATATGTGGAATGACTCACTTATTCACTGAATAATTTACAACGCAATTTGTTCGAACAGTGCTGTAAAACTATTGATTGTACTGTGTAACAAGGATTTTGTTTCATAACATGTGGCAGGTGATTCTGATAAGTTTTTTCCTGTAGAAAAACGAATTCATAATTGAAAATGTTTCAATTCGTCAGGTTTTTGAAAAAATCAAGTTAAAGGATCAAAAAACGCGACTTTAGCAAGTTATTAAAAAAATAGGATGTCATAGAAATTCGAATATTAGCTCGAAAGGTCGAACCTTAAAGCTACAAAAAAAATCTCACAAAAAATTTTACTTATTTATCTTTCTTTTATTCTCGTATTTATCTTTATTTTATGATTGTAACTTAAGGTTCGAGTTTTCATTCGAGCTAATACCTGTGGCGTCCTTTTCTTTAAAATAACTTCAAAAATGGTCAAACATGTGTTTACTTACTTTTTAAACCAGGTTTTTCTAAAAAACCTGGACATGCTGAAGTATTATCAATTACGGATTCGTATTTTACAAGAAAAACTTATCAGAATTATCTGCCACATGTCATGAAACATGAAAAATGTTTAAAAATATTGCATAGTGTTATTGTACACTTCCACGAAAAAGCTCTAGTAAAAGCAATATTTGAAGATTGAATAAAACGACGCTAACCACAAATGTTTTTTTCAAGGTTGTTATTAAAAATTATCAAACTAATATATCAATATAATGCTGTTATGAGCCATTATGACAAATTAAAAAAAAAGATAGATCGTAAAATATTTCTTTTCTGAATATGTTTAATGTCAAACAGACATCGCCAGTAATGCCTGATCATTTTCCACATGTCAAATAAGATAATATAATGAGCAAATTTTTATACAAATTATCAGATAATCAATTATCAACTAATACATGTGATAACAAATGTCAGTTAGTTTAATAAAAAATTGAAAGAAATCGATGAAACGTCTGTACAATATTGTTTAAAAGTTTATCGTTAATATTTTCAATTTTTTTATTAGTTTTTATCGTATACAATTCCTTTTTTCATAATCTACCAATTCGAGCACGGACGCTTTTCAGCGAAACTCTATCTAATTACGTCACGAACAGACTGCCTAGCCCATGACTCATTTCCTTTTTCCTCTCAACTGATTCACGGTAGCTGACCTCCGATATTTCCAATTAATTTTTGATAACACAAATAGATGCCACGTTGGTGGCATTAAGATGTTGAGTGATGGCGCCAGTACGTTAATAAGTAACATAAGAAAATAAATTTCACGTTCGCAAAAATACATTAATGCTATGATGAAAATAATTACCTCTTTAATATAAATGACTATACTGTCATGAAATTTAATGTACTTTTAAGTTACACAAATTAAATTTATTTTAATAACATTACATTAAATTTAATGTATCTGTAACTGAAAAATATATTTGTGTAAAATTTAGTATACGTAGTATACTTTACAGTAAGTATACTTTATATAAAATTTTATATAGATTTATAGAGATATATAGAGCGCGAAAACTTAATGCGTAAACATTTTTAAGATACTTGTAACTTCATTTTCATTTCACAACATTAATGTTTTAATGCACCTGCTTGAAATTTGCTTTCGTTACATTACATAAAATTTGCTGCCTTTTTGTAACAGTGTAGATACTTATCAGTATATTCATCAACGAAATAATAGTGTATTCATTAACAACATTAAAAATAAAATAACGTGATAATCCTTGTTTATATAATGTCTTTTTAAAGTATCTTACAATGATATGATTACAATTTCATTATTTTGCATATAATTACTGAAACAATATCGATTCAGTAATAAATAAACCACATGATTTTGAAAGATATCTATTGTAATTAATAATAAGTGCATATATGTACGCTTATAATTATATTCAGCAAGAATAGTTACGAATGTATGTTCATATAGCTTTGCAATAAACTAAATTAAATTAAATTAAATGTGACGAGATTTGGAAAGAGCTCGAGAAAAATTTACTTAAATACATATACAGTTTTTAAATAAAAATAATATTATGGTTTAATAATAATAAATAAACATTAATCAACAATAAGGACTACGAGCCAAATTTTAATATATTTAAAATTTGACTAGTAGCCCTTAATGTTTATTTATATACTTTTTATTTGTTTATTCAAATGGATATTTATTATAGCTTCAAAATTTAAGTTTCGCTGAAATAAATGATTAAATAATTCATTATCGGCGTGTATAAATCGTTTCTATCACATATCGGATACACCCGCGTCTATCGCATTGCACAGAATAATCTGGGACCATATTCTAAAAAAAATATCACATATGAAAATGTACAAAAATACTATAGTACGTTACATATATTCTAGATTTTTCTAATATCTTTGTATACGATATTTTTCGAGAATAAGGTCCCTATTCAGTTGCATGCACAAATGGATGCTCGTGTGCGTAAAAAAAAAAGATACATGCCATTCGGTATCATAAATATAAATGATCAAATCAATCGCAAATGTGGTACAAAGAATATAGTAGTAGCTTGCTAATATCGAAGAAATGATGATAAATCTTGTAAAATTATGGATAGAACCGTCACGAAGGCGATTGAAGGTCAAATTATTAGATCATTTCCATCACAATGGCAAAAGAAGTTATAAAGCTGAAAGAAAATAATGCATATTGCTTTTTTTAGTTCATTTTACAATTTGCTCTTGATTATTTAAACATTAATTGAGCTTAAATAACTTTGAGAATAATAAATAAATACTATTTAAAACTTTTATGTTTTATTAGTCAATCTATATAATTAATATAATAAATATTTTCGATGAAATCCACTCCCAATAAATTCTTCCCAAATAATTCTACTCATTTTCAAGAAGGAAAATGTATTCAAATACAATTTCTAAGCTTTCTATTTAGAAAAGCAAGTTAATCGGGAACAGAAATTGTATGTACATGTATTTAAGTAAATTTAAGTAAATTTATTTAAGTAAATTTATTTAAGTAAATTTTTTTCCTCGAACTTTCTAAATTTCACATTCGTAACTGTTCTCGTCAAATATAATTTTCGCCTAATTACAATTATCAATTTTTCAAACGCATCTCAGATGTATATCTTCGATGAAAAATAATAGCTTAGTTTTTTACTAATCCAATTTTTTTAAGTCTTCTTACCTTGCTCGCTAATAATTAAAGGATCGATAAGGTTTCGATGTAAACGTTAATAGCATTAAATATCTTCTATCGTCAATAGGGGTTTGTTACGAAGCCGACTTTTCGCGACGATTTTGACGTCATGGCCACATCCCGGACGTAAATGCAATGAGCATCGTGTTATACAAGGAAAGCAGACATATTGGGAAATATTACTTAGAGAAAAATCCGTACCAAAGAAGAAGACACGAGAAAATGTTTCTAATCAGGTCTATGGGTCATAAATAGCGAAACCGACAGAGCACAAAATATCGAACGTATTCTTACTCACATGTCAAGTAAAAAAACCGTTTGTAGAGGCTTCATACTGCTGTGCCACATAATTACTACAGAAAGGAAAATCGTGCGTGAGTAACACGGAAGAGAAAGAGACAAAGAGGGAGACGGAGATCTGGAGAGAGGGAAATTGTGGTAACCCTGACGGATGAGAGAAGAGAAGAGTGGAAAGGGAAGAGAAATGCCAGAGCAGGGCCGAATAATTGAAACGATAGAACGACGATGGGCGGATAAAAATAAAAATTATGACAGTTTTTTAAATCTCAATTATGTATTAAATGTGTTACATTAAAATTAAAAATTTAAAAAGGAAAATTGTGATTGTCTATACGGTTCTACATGGTAAAAACCATGAGGAATTTCCGTAAAGGAAATCATGAAGAAAGATACAAGTAAAAGAAACTTTAGAAACAGGACTTGAACAATTTCAAAATTAATGTCGTAAAAATAGTGTGAAATAACGAAATCGAAATAACGCGCTCGCGGAGTCTTAACTGTTACGAACGAAAGTTGCTTAAGATCAAGTGAAAGGTCAAATCGCTCCAAGGTCTCATAAAAAGGCGCTGCTCCAATACCTAAACATTAAATACCTGTTAAATTCATAATACTAAATTACACCCAATTACACCCATTTGAGTTATTTATAGATCGCCAATACTAGTCAATGTCATTAATTTCACTTAAACAATGGAGTTAAACAACTTAATTCAAGAAACTGTATTAAATTTAACTTAAAGTTTATTATTTACTTTATTATTTAGTTTATTATTTACTAGTGCGTTAATGTAGACAATGTTTACTTTAAAATCAATCACAAAAATAGATTGATTTACATTTTGACAAATAGAAATTAAAAATAACAAAATATTATTTAGCTCAACGGATTGGGCCATTGCTTCTTTATATCTTAAAATATCTTATTAAAATAGCAGTGAGAAATTCAGCAATTGCATAATCATTTGATTAATAATTCATAAATGAAAGAAAAAAAATATGCTTCTCTCAGGTTTTGGCGTAACCTCGTTTGAGCATCTTTATTGAACAAATATCGAGCCAAGTGCCAAGAGGATCGAAAGATAAAGAAAATGTATGATGCGTTTGTAGAGACGTTATTAGCGCTATTTGTATCATTTAGAGATCTTATAACAGTCTAACCACGAGATGACAAACTTTAGATCGGCCGGTCGTTTTTGTCAACTTCAGTAAGTTAGAATGAGATAGCACAGTAGAATGAGATATAAAAAGAGACAGTATATATACCCGTCTTTATCACTCTTGGTTTAACAAAATAACTCGTGGTCAGACTTTGTTAGAGTCTTTATAACGTCATTGTACACACGGAAAAATTATTCTATTGCTAAGAAAAATATTTACTCAATTTATTTTCTTCCTTTTAAATAATGATTAGATTTAACAAAGAATATTTTCTTGATAATAATTGTAAAATATACCGTTAATACTTTTAATATATAAATTTTAGAAAAACATTATATATACTTAAAACAAAAATGTTTCTTTTGAAGAATATTATATAAAATTAGTCAAAGAAATGACTTTATATATAATATACACCAAGTTTGTTTTTATTTAATAATCTTGAAAAAAACTTACTAACAATAAGATTTTAAATATTAGGTGTTGGAATTAATTCGTAGCGTTTTTTAATGAAAGAATGTTATTTATTTCACATGAGCATTAAAAAATACATTAATGAAAGTACTTCCCATCACTTGTAAAACGCTACGAATTAATTCCAACATCTAATATATATTGAATAAATTTAATGTTTGTGATAAACTTATGATTTGCAAATATACAAACTTTTAAAATACTTGGAACAAATTGTATCTACAGTATGTATTTTTCTGAATGTATCTATTGTTTAATAAACCTGAAACAACTAAGGATAGAATGACGCTAATAGTATTTTCCCAACCGTATTTATAGATCCAAATTTATAGATCTACAATTTGCGGATCTAAAAACGGATCAACGTATTTCATTCTCCCGTGCACGTGCACTTGGCAGCAATGAGTGCGCGCGCACTCGGATACACAGGTGGTTCACGCGGTGATCTAACTTTACCTAAGCAGCCCTTAGAGAGGCGTACGATCAATCACCATTCCATAATTTCACGCAGGCTCTACTCTGATCACGATTTCACCTTCACAGAGAAAAACTTTTCATGATAAAGATCAAATATCATAAATCTCAAAAAAGTGACATTTGTGTGTGTATATATATATATATATATATATATATATATATATATACATACATTATCTATCTATCTATATATATATATAGATATATAGATAATGAGACGTGCATGATAAGTAGATATAAGCATAACGAATTGAAACGAATATTCATGGATGATGAATTGTATCAAGTCCATAAATTTCAGATATTTCTCAGAATTATTAAATTCTTCGAAAAAGCTAGCAGTGCTTCGTCCTCTTACAAGATTTAAGAGATAAAATCAATAATTTATTTTAAAAAAATATAAGACGTACGTGATAAGTATAACTCGCGAATTAAAATGAGTATTCAGTGGGTGATGAATTGTAATATCAAGTCTATAAATTTCCCCAAATGTTTCTCAGGATTATTAAATTCTTCGAAAAAGCTAACAGCTTCGTCCTCTTTCAGGATTTAAGAGATAAAACCAATATTCTATTTTTAAAAAATTATATAAGACATGAGTGATAAATACCCGCAAATTAAAATAAGAGATTCAGTGAGCGATAAATTGTAATAAATTGTATCAATCAAGTTCATTCAAATTTCAAACGTTTCTTAGGATTATCAAATTTCTCGAAAAAATTAGCAGTGCCTCTTCCTCTCTCTTTCAAGATTGAAGAGATCAAATTAAAAATTACAAAAGTTTATAGATTTCGTCAGACTTCTTCAAGAGATTCCGGAGATTTAAATCGATTTACGTAACAAATAATAACAAATCGAGATTAATAATGGCCAAGGTTGACCGCTTTTTATAAGAATACTGAATAGTCATATAGTCAATAGTTGTTGCGACACTACAAGATGAACGAAGCTTGATTAACGGAAGGAGGGACTAACCGTCTTGAAAATTGAGATGATGACGAGGTTTATCGTCTTCTCGAGTCTTAACTGATACTGCGCTCTGAAATGCATTCTACTGATAACTATGTCGACTTACTTATCTATAATAATTATTTGAGCACAGTAAATCAAGCGCTGTAGATCGTGTAGTGATCTAAAATTAATCAATCAACTTTGTAACTAATTTTGATGAATTTATTATCGAAGAAATTTTTCCTTCTTGACCATCATTGTCATCTGTAAGAAATCAACATTGTCAGCACGACGCATTTTAGAGCACATTTCAACGTTCACACCTGCGATAAATCAGATTGCACATAAGATATTTTTGTAACCAGCTGTTCAATCAAATATCTCTACACGTAAGTATACAACTGCGATATACAACTGCATCACATATTATACACGCGTGCAACAATAACAGATATAAATAATGATTGAAAAATATTTTTTTGCTATATTTTATATAATTCCGATTATCTTAACAAATATAAGTATAGATATTGTTTTACAATACTTTATGTTTGCGATGATTATCTCATCGGAATGCAAATATGATAAGCAATATTGCAAAAAGTTTTAACGTTCCAACAACAAAGTTTGAGCATCTTATAATTATTTTAATAACTCAAATTACTTTCAAATTTGTACATTTATCTAATTTTTTAAATACTTTAAAATTGTACTTTTCGTGTACGAACAACAATTCGTTGAAACGATATGACTAGTTTGAAAGTGAGATAATACGAATATTGTGAAATAATACAAACAATGATAACGTTTGAATCGTGTAGCTATAAAATCGTCACATAAAAGCACTCGAAAGGCCGAAAAGATTGAGGCCCGTGTTCAGAATGCGCTAACCTTATCGATAAATACGCTTTTATGTTGAAATTCTATAGTATAACGTAACTGTGTGCTAAATACGTGCTAACATCGTAAAAGAGCATTCTGAATACGAACTTGGAATTCTAAAAATAATTCAAAATGTTTGTATTAAAAATTCTAAATAAAATTTAATAAAATTTTGTAGAAATCATAACATTAATCAATATATTTCATCAATATATTTCTTCAATATATTTCATCAATATATTTCAAGTAATTAAAATCTTGATTTTCGTAAAAAAAAAGAGATTTATTTGTCCAGAGAGACTAGTTTAAATTTTAATCTTTCAAAAATTTTTGTGTGAAAAAAATTTAGTTGTATGAAATTATATTTTTTTTCTATTAAGAAACCGACCATTAAGATTTTATTTATTTTGTAAATATTCGGTCCACAATAAAATTAATTAATATATAGTATTGTTGACTTATCCAAATCGCGTCATATGAGAAAAATAATATCGATTATTAAAATGCGTGATAATAAAATGCGAGACTTGGAATACCCGATTCTTCATTGTATCGGAAATCAGTGAGAAGAAATTTTATTGCGATCAAGTAGCGCATAGTCAATTTCAGTATCAACTTAAAACCTAATTAATATTTTTGTATTGATGACGAATTTTCAAGGATCTAGTGTTTTATATGTCTATGTTTTGTATGTCTATGTGTATTGTGTGTAAAATTAATAATATTAACAAATAATGTAATTGTATGTAATTAAATATATGTGCATCTCTAAAAATACGTTACAATATACAAATATTTTTCTTACTCAGCTGAAAACTGTTGAAAAAGAAAAATTAATTAGAACGGATTCCATAATTCCAGGTGCGAGACAAACATATTGCATGATTGATACGATATCATTAACATAACTGTACTGTCATGATAACTAATGAAATAAGAACACAAGGCAATGTCCATCTTGCGAAAACAATAGCACATGTTATTTCCTATAAGCATTTAGTCTTCGGAATACGAATATAGATACAAATAATATTCCTTGCGTACAAAGATAAAATTAAATTAAAATCAACGATAATAGGAAAGAATGATTTTGTTAAAGTATTTACAAAATTTAATTAAATACAGATGTGAAAATAATTTTCAGATCTTCATCAAAATAATTACATAAAACGCTCAAACTAGTTGCCAAATATTAAAACTTCTTGCAGAATTATCATGAATGTTTAAACGTTTTACATAGAGGAGACCGAGGTTGGTTATCGTAGGAGATTGATTGTCAAAATGCTTACAATTCAAACGGAACATGGCATAAAAATCTCTTTTTTTGACTGTAGATTACTGATATTAATTTGTTGTTTAAAATGATTTGCACCACAAGCATTGTATATATTATTTATAACGATTTATAAGAAAATGAAGGTGAATAAATTTTTCTTGTCGCTTATTTTGTTGTCTGTTGATGAGTCTTTGATATTATTAATCGCAATATCCCTGTATTTATAGAAAATGATATGTTTTAGAAGATCTTTGCTACAATTAACTATCCTGACAAGATTTGTAAATACAATCTTTTTTATTAAAAATAGCTATGTAGGGTAAATTGACCAAAATGAGATGAAATTAGATAACAATTAATTTTAACATTTTTAGAGAACATATTTTCAAAGAATATACTTACAAATATATTATATTTCATATAGATTTATGTTTTTTTCATTTTTCATATAAAAACTACGGTAAAACAAATTACGTATTTTATAATTAAAATAATTATTTTATTTGTATTCATATCATAATTAATATTGTTTCTCAAAATATAGAACTAATATTAAAATAAAAATCGTATTTTTTATATATGTGTTGTCCAATAAATATGCTACTGCCAATCCTAGAACATGTGACAATCAACTCAGAACACGGGATTAATTGTCACATTTTCACAGCTTCATTTTTAATTTAATAACTTAATGAAAATTCACGAGTAATATTTTTTTTAATACCTAAAAGATGTAGATATATTATAAGTATATATATGTTTCAAAATCAGGCATCAATTTTTTTCTAAAAATCACTAATAAAAAACTGTGACAACCAGCCCCAGGTTTTCCCTCCTAATTATTTTGATAATCCAACACAATTATTTTCAGATCTGTAACTAATAGCGAATTTTAGTGTGCATATTAAATAAAGCCGTTGTGCACTGATTTAATCTGTGTGAAATGCAAATATTTCGAATTATAAAATACAGATTTTACTTAACAAAAATAATAAAATATATTGAGAATTTAATTCGATTTTATATTTGTATGTATTAAACACAACACACACAAACACACACACACAGTGTGTGTGTGTGGGTGTGTGTGTGTGTGTGTGCAGATATATATATATTTACGTCAATTGTGTACGGCGGCTTTAATGTGCACCCGTGCGCACTGAGTGCATCCAATCGGATTCGCTATTAGATACTTCAGCAAAATCGTACGTTCTTTCCACACAAGAATTAAAATCGTACGATACAAGTCATAAATTAAATAATGTACGGTGTCATCTGAAAGATATATGATTGGAGAAAACAATAGGGCATAAAACGAGGCTTTGATATCGCTGTAGAACTATGTAGATACCCAGAATTATGTATATCCAGAACTTAGGCATATAACCCCGATAATACAAACGGGCATAAAAACGAAAGAAAAATAATAGAAAGAATGAACCTGTAAAATTAGGTCTCGCCATACCTTGTTAAAGCACTGGGCAATTCGACCTTGACAGGTAGTCTTAATTTATGCATTTTATTTTATACATACACACACTGCTATGTCATTAACAGTACAGTCTCCTCTTTGCCTCTTTTTCTCTCTCTCTTTCTCCCGCAGCCAGATGCGTAGTCGTGCACACGCCACACACACGCGCTTTTTACACGCTGCTCTGTTGCGTGCTACGTCTACGTACGACTACGTGCGAAGTGATGTATAACGGGTAACATAACCAATAAAATTGTATACCCAAATACAATCGCTTTCTTCAAAGAGGGGAATGGAGGTAGGAGAGAGAGCCAACAGAAAGAGTTCGTACGTGGAGCGTTGGTATGGAGCGAGAGAGACCAAGGGGGAAAAAAATCAGAAAGAGAAAGAGAAAATGTGTGAAACAAGAGGGGTTTACACACAACACTAATCAAACGACACACGAACGAAACTAACCAACTATATAACGGAGGAGCGGGGGAGAGGGCAGTCTAGTTAGTGATTTTTACATGGACACTGGACGGCAAGTGATTCCTCTTCGAGCTCTCGCTCGTCTCTCGCCGACGATGGATTCTCGAGACTTGATCTTCGATGCAAATTCATTTAGTACTGTTAGCCACTCGCGACGGACAACGGACGCACGTCAACGCACGTATGTACTAAATGTAGGTTTTTCACTCCGTACGCGTATCTGTATCGGTTGGACGTTGGACGACGCCACCGGTGGCGAACCGCGTTGTCCACCGTCAAGTCTCTCGATCGGTTGCACACACACTGATAGCGAGCAGCCCTCACTACGTGCACCAGCACGCTCCCGCCTCTTCACCCGTGCTGGTTTATATACTCTAGACGTGACATTTCACGGAAAAAAAGAGACGAGCGAAGATGGCGTCGTCCGATTCGTTTCTCGCGCGCGTTCGCGACAATACAAAATAATGGAGCGAGTGGACCGGGAAGACTGTATGTTCATAGAGCAATTATGACATCGAAGAATCACGTGTGAAAAAATATTAGCATTTGTCCGCGAGATAAAGCGTATTACTCGTATGAACGCGCGTTCGTTTCTTCGAATTATTCGACGTCGCGCGGCGATGTGAGCGCACCTACGACGATTACGAATTGCGATAAGTCAGCTGCGAGATATCGATCGATACCTACCCGCCAAAATTTAAATTGTTTCTCTAGTTTGATTAGAATATTATTAGGATTAAGTTTGAAGATGTCGAAAGAGGTTACTTACTGATTACTTACTGAAAATCTAATCATAGATTAATTAAATAAATAATTTGGCACTGTCTATATTATATAACATGGTCCATATAAAAATCAAATAATCAGTTCGATTACAATGAAAGTTGATATTGCTTGTATGAGTTTCAAGATAACTCGTCTATTATTGTCTTAAAAAAATGAAATTAATTAATCGGTATTTATTTAAAAAAAACAGTACTATTCGATGGAACGAATTATTTGCTTTATCTTTTTTTAACGAATGATAAAAGAAAATACGTAATTTATTACTTGTTGATATTTCCATCGCCCTATCACCGATATCACTAACATTGAAAAACATTTGCAATGGAGTATGAAATATGTATGGTAATGAAATGAGATCGATGAAAAATGATGTAGAATTAGCGATGAAAATATTGCTTTATTCAAAGCAGATGATACATTATTTATGTCGTTTAATGCTGCTCGTAAATCTGGCTGGAAGTACAAACGCGATCATGATATACGATCTGATCCTTTCTTCAAGTGATGATTGGATAACGCATAATGTAACTGTAATAAAATAATCAATAACATGATAAATAACTCATGATAATGCGTCTCACGAGACGTAGAAACGTAGAATTGTTTCAAGTAATATGATAAAAGCAGAAATCAAAGTGCCATGCGCTGCAGAAATTAGTAATTAAACGTGTTATTGTTAAACCCACGACATTGCCTTCCTATTCTTTCTCATCAATTCAAATCCAATTAACCCGCTGACCAATAGATAAAAGTTGAATACATTAATGATTCATTTATCTTCTTGCGACATAAATAGCCAATAAAAAATTCATTGATGATAGAAAAGCAATTAGATTTATTAACAACAGCACATTCTTTTAGTCATTTCGTATTATTCTTGCAATTCAAAATTACCAAAATAGGGCGAATGAAATGGATACAAAATGTACACAGAGAATATTTGTTCAGGGATCAAGAGGAAATAATAGCTTACCTAAGCAACGCTTTCCTCCAACAGTAGTCCGTCTCGATGACAAGCAGCTGCAATTTCATCATGTATGTGGACGTGGACCAAGACATATGAACAAATCATAAACCGTTAATGACTCTCTTCTTCGTCTCCCGGCGAAAATTCTCCTTCATTTTCTAATTCTTTCTTTTCTTGCTCCTTCTCTTTCCTTTCGTGAATGGAAACGTGATTCCGTACTATTCGAATTGCGATTAGCCGTACGCGACCCAATTATTCAGGTCTGTGTTATCGATCAATTAGAACGAAGCACACGGAACGAAATAGAGCAAACTCTGACACATAAACGCTCTTTTTTTTTCTCTTTTTTCTTGTTGTCGTGAAAAAAAGAATAAATTTTAAGGAAGATGCAGGTCGAAGATTTCTTGGGAAGCGCACGAAATGACACACTGCACAGCTAAAGATGTACTAAACGCGATGATGATCGCTTATTTGGAAAGTGGTGAAACGGAAGCGATCAAGTTGCGAGATCTCAATCTCGAAGAGAACGGTTTCTAATCATCTTCGTAGCCTCTTGCTGTTACATGTTCCTATCTGTCGCTGTTTTCTCACACTAAACTCAGATAAAGATGAAAAAAAATAGCACGGGAACCCGCCCGCCTGGCTGGCTATCCGCTTGCTACCGTAGCTGATATACATGCTCCTCCATCCAATACACGTCGCGACGCCAACGAAGGCGCACGCGCTTCCTCATGGATCGCTATTTTTCCATCATGAACAAGTGTTACGACCAGTTGGCTATTAGTGACGTCATGTAGGACAAGGACGCTGATTCACTCACGAATGTTCAGCAGCTGTACAGGATTCACTCTCTAAGAACAATTGGAGTACGAAGATCAACTGAATCTCTCCTTTTGGATTAAAATTCTATTATTTCTTGAGAATAATATCACTGAGGCAAAACATCAATATCGATACTATAATATAGCACGATTGGAATGAATGTGCATGAGTATGTTTCAAACAAAAATAAAATTCTTACTTACAAGCGAACAAAAAATAGATTGTACAATGCATGGATATTCATTGCATGTTGTAGCAATATTGTAGAGATTTTGCTGCAAATTCTGTGCTGTAATAAGTGCTGGAAAATTAATAATATGTACTTATTAAAACATTTTTTCATTAGTGGTATTAAAATTTAAAGACAATTCTGTCATGCAAAAATATAAAGTTAAGGAACCCGTCAAAACAAAAAAAAACTTCATGAAGATTAATAAATTTAAAAAAAAAATGATTGAGAAAATTTTAAGGCAAACACAACTCTCACATTTCAATATTATTTTACTCTTTTCAAAAAATACAAATAATGATTTTTCACATAAGATTTGAAAATATAATAAAATAATATAAAATTTAAATAACTGAATGGTATATATGTATGTACATTGAAATTGAACAGAAAAAAAATTAAAAATAAGTACAAATATGTTTAATGTAAAAAGAACTGATTAAAGGATGATAAATATGTAATTAGAAATTTTACTATAAATAATTCTGCCAATTGAATTAATTAGAGTTTAGTAAAAATTGCTCGCATATACATGGCGTCTTCGGATTTTCCAACAAGTTTTTAAGAAAAAGTCTTTCCATACAAATTTCAAGTATGTTTTATGAGCTAAAATGAGAAAAAAAATGTTATATAAATATAGATTCTAAATATATATATAAATATATATACAATGTAAAATGTATAAGAAACAGTGTTACCTATAAATTTGCATTTTAAAATGTAATCCGTTTATGTCAATACAAGCTTGACGTTGATGTAATTTTGAATGAATTTATCATTTTTTTTTTGCAAGGACGGAAGAAATTTTATTATGAAGATTTCCTTTAAGATTTTCTTCGCAAAAATAATAATACATTCAAAATTACATTGATGTCAAGTTTATACTGACATGAGGCATTTTAAAATGCAACCTTGAGTAAAATTATTTCTTATACATTTCATATTTTTTATTTTAACTTTTTAATAAAGATTTTAAGAACCTATGTTTATGTAACATTTCTTTCTTATTTTAGCTCATAATATACATTAAAGTTTGTAGATACGAAAAATTTAGGGACATTTTAAATCATTTTTTTATATAATTATAAAGAAGTTAATAAAAAAAAATAAAGAAAAAAATACAGTATAATACCTCTTTATGAATACCTACTTATTTGTCAATTTAACAATTGCCATTCAGTTTATTAGATGAAGATTTTCAAGAATCATTTCAGAATTGTGTTGTATGCATGATATCTCTAATTCTAATTTTAATATTCATAAAAATTTCTAATTATTCGGATTAGTCAAAAACTCATTGAGCCTCCGTTATATATCGTTTATCACACTCATTTCATAGCTTTTATTAATCGTAATGATTGACAATAAAATTATTTATGAGCCGCATTATTCTAATAACAAGTGTTTGCACAATGATCGATCTCACACGATAAACACTGTCGTGATGGACACACACACACACACACACACACACACACACACACAATATTAAAGTTATCTCTCCTATAAATCTTTATTGAAACAATGAGAAATCTTACATGATTATATATTTTATAAATATTTCTCGCAGCAGTAATCGCTGCTGTAATTTCAAAAAATTGCGCGAATATGTCCTTAACCTATACGAGTATGTGTGTATGTACATATTGTATATAATATCAATATACACATATATTGATATATGGAAAAAATAGGAAAATAAAGAAAGAGGCAGTGCCAGAAGTGTAAACAAACCGAGAGAGAATATATCGACAAAACTCGATCGTGGTTTTTTCTCGACAAAACTCGATTAGGTTTTTCTCTTCAGCTACCAACAGATGAAAACTTATTGAGATTATTTTAGTTCTCTGTAGTTCACAGCTAGTTCGCAGCAGCATGAGAAGGCACCTTAGTGTTTTCCTTTCTCCTTTTTACTTTTTTCTCGATTCTTTGCAATTTGAAAAATATTTCTGAGTTGCATCAAAAGGATCGTCGAATATGGACTTGTAATTTTTGAAAATTTCTGACGAAAGTAATCTTCTTTTTTTGTTCACTCTTATAACAAATATTTTAACAAATATTAAACGGGCTATTGGTTATTACTGTCCGAATTGAACTCTGAAGATTGAGAGTCATGTCCTGTGTGTAACCTTAATTCAAATGAATTGATACAGATTGGAACAATGTAAAGATGGACGATAATATATTTTCCAGAATATAATTTAATCATGGAGTACTTTAGCGAAATATTTTTGCTTGGAGTTGACACGATTGTATTTACTATCTGCTTGAAACAGTATATTCACTACAAGAATGCGATTAAGGCGATTAAGGTGAACAATATTAATTCATTGTTAAAGTTCTAAAACGTATTAATTAAAATATTTTAAAATATTACAGGCAATTTAAGAACTTTTATTTTTTGTAGAATGTTGAGCTACATGACATTGGCCCAGATTTGGAAAGTCTACTAGATAAGAGCCTGAATGACAAAGTAGATTATGTCGCTATCAAAGGAGTTGTGAAACCATTAAAAGAATCATTACAAAGCGTTAATAAAAAAGATGTTACTGGAGTCATACAGAAGCTTAGTGTCAGAGAACATGTTGTTGCAAGAACATCAGCTGGTTATTGGTAGGTTATTCAATATCGTAACTTTATGAACAATTCTGTAGTTGTAATATAAATATCAATAATCTTGATAATATTATATTTCTTTCTAATTATCTAATTTGTAATTTCATAGGTCTGACCAGGAACGAACAATTCAGCAAGTATATAATGTCGTACCATTCGTTTTGCAAAATAGATGGTACCGTGTTGAGATAACAGATCCATTGTCTGCTGATATTTTAGATTTGGATGTAATCTCTGATAATTTTCAACCTAGTGTACCTACAATTATAAATCATATATGGGGATTTTTTACGGGTAATTATAATAAAACTTTTAATTGGACTAGTTCTTATTTTTATTACATAATATAGAATCATATGTACACTCTTGTAAAAAAATATGTGTGTGCGGTGTTACGCATGCATAAAGTTCTTAAATTTGAATTTAACTATCATATGATTTATTAGGAGTACGCCAACGAGGTATACAGTCTACAGAAAAAATGTTGCGTGAAGATTCAATTATTACAGCAATAGGTGAGCTCTCGAGATCGAAAACTGAATCCAATTATCTTACTTTGCAACTTCCATTAAATGGATCTCCTTTTTATATAACAAGCATGTCAATTACTTCTTTGATGCGGAAATTAGATGATCATAAGAAAATATACAGGCACGTACATTTTAGTGTATTGGGATTTTATTATACAGTATTTAATTGAAACATATTATTTATTATATTATTAACGCTGCGGTCAAAGTCTCACTACAAATGCTTTGAAACGTTTGGTTGACCAATTAGAAAAAAGAATTTTACAAATTGATCAATTAAAAATTGCTTTAAAGCATTTGTAGCATCACGTTGACCATATCCTAATGCCTAAATTCTAAGCAGAATTGTAAAGCTCGTAATAATATTCTTGTAAGACTTGTAAAAATTTTTAAATGCTTATACCTTTATACAATATTTTTACAGACAACTTCTTACTAGCATAAAATTTACAAGAAATTGTAGATATTTATGAATAATCATGTCTTATATATGATATATATGCATAAAGGAAATTAGGATATTAGTTAGAAGTTCTTACAAGTTTTACGAGACTTTACACGTTACGAGTCTTGCAATTCTGCTCAGAATTGACTTGTAAGTCTGAATTTATATAATCTGTTGAACATACATAGGCTATTTTGTTTGATGAGCGGCACAATTGGATTAGTACTTGGAGGAATTATGATAAGACGCTATTGGAAGAATAAACAGCAACAAAGATTAGCAGATCAATTACGTCAATCGCTCGAAACATCTCGTCAAGAAAGGCGTCAAAGGGTCAGGGATAGAGATCTTAGAGAGGATCAAATATGTGTAATTTGCAGGACAAACGCACGTGAAATTATTTTATTACCTTGTGGTCATGTATGCATATGCGAAGATTGTTCAGTTAGCATCAATACTAATTGTCCTATTTGCAGAACACAAATTATTCAAAAAGCGGCCGCATATATAGTATAAATTTCATCTTGATATGAATACTACTTTTATATAGCAAAAATATTTTTATTGTATCAGAGTGTGAAAACGATAATTGATTAAAATAATACTATTCCGTACGATCCTATCTCCTTTATGTGATATGTAAGTTTTATTATTTATAAATGAAAATCTAATTTACAAAAATAATATATAAGTACATTAATTATAATAATTATAAAGAGTACAAAACTATTTTCTGATCATGTGATTTTTAATATATATATTTAATGAACTTTGGATATATGTACAAGTTATATTTTGTTATCAGTTCTGTTTTAAAACTATGTATTTATGACTTTTTTGTTTAAAAGTATATTTATATTACAGCTACAGTTATAGTCGTTAAGAGTCACAGAAAAGGTCCTTTAATTTTTAAATGAAAAAGATAGTAAAATGATTTTTTCCAATAACTGAAAAAAAAAATATGTGTGGAAAATTTCTTTGTAAAAATATATTTTAGGTGTACATGTTACATATTTAGACAGTTATTTATTTAGTTGTATGAGAATCTTAAAGATCTATATTTTGCATTTTGTTTTTTTTATCCATATGCAAATTCATTATCTTTTTAGCTTTACTAGATTTACCAATACCGAGTTTTGGCAGTCCTCTATTCAAACCTTCCAACAAAACACATGCTTTACATATTTCTTGACTTGAGACAAATCCACATAAAGTACAATTTCTTCTCTCTGGCATTTTTACATTAGCTTTCACTTGTAACTGCTCACCTAGTAAATAATATTAACTATTTTGGCTCATCATCCGAAAACGACCTACGTTCAATCGCAATGAATTTAAGCAGAAATAATTTGATTTCAAATGAACAACTCTTAAACGGATTTCTAATTTCTACCATAATAAAATTTAATGTCAAAATAAAGAAAATTATAAATAGGGGATAGGATATTATAATATATAGAATATATTGGTTGTGTTCTGTAAAACGCATGATATATCATTTATCCTGAGAATGGAAGTACAGTAACGCCGTTACTTTTTATAATAATGATTTGATAATGACATTGCAATTTTTTGACTGACAATAATTAACTAAACGCTAAGGTTGCACTAAGATTAAGAAAATTACTTTTAAAAGTAACTTATCATTATGTGTTATTTAAAAAAAAGTAATTTGTTACTTTACTAACGCATCGATATGGTACTTTATTCGTTACAAATACGAATTATTTCCAATTCGTTAGAAGTAACAATTCACTTTTCTACTATCATTGCCGCCATAAAAAATTCGTAACGTCATTACCAAATCATTATTATAATAAAATAACGATAAAAAAATAATGCGTTACACAAGTATCTTCTATTCCCTAATTTTATCTTTATTGTTCATCAAATAATAAACAAGGATAAAGTGATCATACACAATATGCACTCTATCGATGGCTAAAAAAATTTGAAAAATTATTCACAGTCATGACATTAACATGTGTCAAGATAATTAGGAATGCCTCCTCTAATTGACATATTTACTTTTTATGTATTTTTAGCATTAAATTTTGGTGTTTTTATCGATAGAAATCTTTTTAAGGACATTTAATTAACATCATTTCGAGTATTTCTATCAAAATTCATAATAATTAGGCGTTGGCCATTTTCGGAAATTATTCACTATTTTTCTAATTTTCAGGTTGACAGATAAATATTAATACTGTAGGAAATTAACAAAAAGATATTCTTACCTGAATGTATTATGTCTATGATAGATGACGGCCTTATTTTTTCTAAATCTTTTAAAAAGGCTCTTGCATGACCTCTATAAGCATTTGGAGCATATATACATTCTGTAGAGAAATATACTAGATTTTTAAAATATGCATACATGACAATCTCTTTTTCATATGCATATTTTAGAGGTTTACACCGCATGATAGAATCTGCACCAGTCTATATTACATAAGAACATAGATATCAAAGAAATTTGTTGTAATTTTATAAAAATTTTATATATTATACAATATTCTTACAGTGATTACAGATGTACATCTCTGTAGTCGGGCAATATCACCTCTCAAGATATTCATTAGTACTGTTTCAGCAATATCATCTGCATTATGACCTGTTGCGATGCAATCTACTTTCAAAATTGCAGCCCCTCTATCCAATGCTTGTCTTCGAAAAACACCACAAAATGTACAATTATTTTTACGGCCGATCTAAAAAATATATTTTGTTACACATATGTTCGAAGTTATCAAAAAATATGGTTAAATCTCACACCAACTTGATTCACTAGATCGATTGCATATTTTTATGTAAGGCATTTAATTGACAGATTCTTAAATTATTATATCTAAATACTGAACTAAAGACAGGTTTTTAGTAAACTTTAGCTATAGTTTAAATATTTGATACAATTTACCTCTGCAACTATAGAATCCATTGTCCATCCATACAATTCCTTATATGATAAAATTTTAAGTGGAATACCATAATCATCTTTATTCCGTGTCACAGTTTTCAAGCTATCATCTCTGTAGCCTAAAAAGATATATTTTAAAAGAAAATTATATTTTTTATATACTTTATATAATTATATAATTATATAATTATTAATTTTATATAATTATATTTTTTAATATAAAGCTTCAATATAAAGATGCCATTTTTATAGCTGCATTACCAGTAATTCCTTCATCAATGGATAAAAGAAACAAGTCTAATTCATACTTGTATCTTTCATTCAAAGTCTTTAAGACATATGCCAGTACAGTGGAATCTTTTCCACCTGATGCTCCAATAGCAACTTTATCACCAGGCTTAAATAATTTACCATTGATGATAGTATCGTGAATCTCGGTCTCAAATGCCAAGAAAAAACATTCTTTGCATAATGTATCGCCAGTTTTTGGCCTCTAAAAATGCATACATTTTTTAATTTAATAATGCAATAATATAGCAATTTTTAGATCTAGTATAAACATGAAAAAATAATTTACCTTTAAAATAGCATTTTTTCCACACTTTGTGGAACATTGTGGAAATGGAGGCATCTCAATTATTTTTCTTAGACTACCAATAAATCTCGTTATATAAGATAATTTCTTTAATAATGCAAGATTGTAAAAATAAACATGTATTCTACAGATTCTATAAAGATCTTCGTGAACACAAGCACAATTAAGGTTATATAGCAATTATGCAAAATAAAATTATAACACAGTCACAAGTAATGTTGATCTAATAAAATCCACTTAAGTTTATTAATTTTTCTTGAAACATCTGATAAAAAAACAAAAAGTTTATATTATTTCTATTTTCGGGAATTAAAAGTTTTTATTACACAAGAAAAATGTTCAAGAACGCGCAATTTAATCTTCCGGCTTCTCAGGCGGTGGTCCACAAGGTTGCAGCATCTTCTCCATAAGATTGAATCTAACTCGTGCTTTGGCTTCGTTTTCGGCAATCGCAAAGAAATTTAGCAAATCGTAGTGGCCCATATATGAACTACAAGAATCCCTATGCTGATTCACCAACCATTCGAACTTGGTTGTGTCTGCATGTCCCGTACCAATGTACTTGGATTGTAGATGCTCCAACTGGCTATGGATGTTGTAGCGTTCACCCATGTTTTCGATTTAAAGACTTAAATTTCTTCGCGCGATCTCGTTCTTCTCTAATAATAATTAAATATTGCATTAATAATCACACGTTTCGCCACTCGTATATCGTTAAATCTTCTACCTCTTCGTTTCATAGGTTATGTTCGCTTAAGACCCGAAGGGCATTCAGGGAGCGGATGTGTCATTCTATCCTTGTTTTACATCTAATAAACAACGAAGATAGAATGACGTAGTAGCACAATAGCGACTTCCCGAACGCACCACTAATATGTAATAGTCACGAAACACAACCACTGGGTGCATTCAGTACTACATCGCTCAATGAGCTCTTGCATGTGATGGGTCTATATTTTTAGATCTAACGGAATATGCCAATCAGATGCAAAAGCTCACTGAGCGCTCAGTATACATCTACATATGTAAGTATACATGGATAATCGATTTAGGCAGTTGCACCAATGTCACTTTGACTTTAAATTCTATCTGCTCGTTTTAAAGCTAAAAAGAGACAGAAAGAGTTTTAAACCCGCTTAAAATCAAAATAACATTGGTGCAACCGGGCCTTAATAATCAAGCTTTTGAATTATCAAGAAAAATGATCAAAAAAATAATTTTATCAGAAAGAGATAGAATTGAAGAGTACCAACAGAATAAAATAAAAATCCATGATTTTTAAGGATAAAAAAGATGGACTCTTTTAAAATTCTAAGTTTTTTTAATTTTTCCTAGAAGCGAATCCTAGTAGTTAATAGTAAACTGGTGTAATTCTATTCGAATTTGTCAGTGGACTATTGATATTTCAAGGATATTAATAAAAAATAGAAACTATTACTATAAATGAACAAAATAATATTATTGTACAATAGTATTATATAGTAGCATTATGTAAAATATTATAATAATGATAGAACCTTGCAGAGCCTGACTAGAAGATAGTATTTTATTAAAATTTTGTATTTTGAGAAAAATATACATTTACATTCTCTTATTCTTTTTTTCTTCTCTTTTCCTCTATCTTTTACGCTAGCTCTCTCTCTCTCTCTCTCTCTCTCTCTCTCTCTCTCTCTCTCTCTCTCTCTCTCTCTATCAAATTAACAAAACATGATAGGTCAATCAAAATAAACTGTCTAATAGCAAGACTCTGGAATGTTAACTCTTACTCTACAAGATACAATTTGATGCCTCATCCATATAAACGGGAATTATCACTAGAATCCGTCCATTTTTTTATCTATTCAGAATGATTAAAAAAATCTCTAAAAATTCACCAACATATCCTTCCATCTTTTTATAATAAATATTGGAACTTCATTTAATATAAATATTGGAAAATAATAAAATGTAATATAATTTATAATTATCGAAAGACTCAAAGAAACTTGCACGAATAGAAATCGCTCGGTCACTATAGTGACCCAACTTGTACGGTAAGAGTTAAATGTGTATAAAATATATTAATGTTTATTGAAAAAAAACAAAATTTAAATATTAATATAATAGTATCATGTATTGCAAAGGAATGTGAATGTACCTGAGAATAATTATTTCTCTGAGAAGATATTATTATTATTTTTCAACAGAATGTTCCTGCTGTACACTTTTAACTTAGCTTGTTTCAATATTTTCATTTTATGTTTTTGTTTTTCTTGTTTTATAAGGCGTTTTAATCGATTATTAGAACGTCTCAATTTAACAACAGTATTATATAGCATTCTGGCAGTTGGACTAAGACTTTTTGCACGAGTTATATGTTTCAAATTTGATCTTCTTCGTGACCCGTTTGTTACGGGAGTTGCCATTATCGTTAACTGTTCTTCTACCCTTTGCAATCGTTTTTCAAGATTATAAATTACATTTTCTTGTTGTTTTTCATTATCCTTCTGTTCACAATGTAATTGCTGCAATCGATTTTTCTCTGTGGTATCTTTCTCATTAATTTCCTGTTGAATTTCAGGCACTTCAGTTTTTATTTCCATTTGTTGTTCATCACATATTTCTAATAAAACCTGTTGTTTTGATAATTGTTTATGTACTTGTTCTTGCAAAAAGAGCATATTTGTGACCACAGATTGAGAAACTTTATTATGCTGCTTATCTTCAATTAAAAAATGTTGTAATGGCTGTTGCTGTACATTATTTTCAGTTTTAGTTTTAACATCAGTGCTATCATTACTATTATAAACAAATAAAGAAGGAATTGCCGTATTCATTAATAAACGATGATAATGCGGATGTGGAGAATAATAGTCTTCTTCACGGAAATGCATATAACAAACTTTAAATTTTTGTAATTCATCTGCACACATGCTTTTCAAATGATCCAAATTTAAACTTCTTATCCACTCGAGACATCTTATTGGACTTTTGGGGAATTTGTGAGATGGAACTTTTTTTCCAGACTTGCATTGAGGGACACAACATGCTCTTCCCATTTTTTTTTCTATAAAAAATGTTATCCATTATTACTAATCTACAATGTATTTTTTACTTCTTGTTTCTTGCTTTTCATCTATTTTTACTTCTTATCTTGTTTCTTTGTTTTTTGTGAAATGAAATTTGATGAACTTTGGACAAGATAAGAAACACAAATGTCATGAAAAAGGAGAAAAGCAAGAGATAAAACTATTCTACAATGTGTTTTTTGTTTCCTATTTCTTGTTTTTAACTATTTTTTTACATCTTGTCTTTTTGCTTATCTGTTTTTTGTCACCCGAGATAAAAGTTAACGAATTTTGGAAGAAACAGGAAACAATAGCAAAAAAATACAATTGTTAAAACGGTCGCAAAGAAGGAAGAAATGCAAGAAGTAGGAAACAAAGAGCATATTGTAGATTAGGCTAAAAAGAGACACGAAACAAAAGGTACATTGGGTGCTTTCTATTTGATGACACAAGCATCGTTCTATCCTTCTTGACATTCAGAAAGTGACAAAGGTATAACAACACTGGTGTTGATTTGTGTCATCAAAAGGAAAGCATCCATTGTAGATTAGGATAAGATTTTTTTAAAGATTTTTGAAGAAAAATGTTTTAAAAAGGCCCGTTTTTGCTGTGCTCGGGAAAAGTAAAATAAATATTTGTTTTAAGTTTTTAGACGAACAATTCCTATGATGATGTTAATTAAAATTGTATCTCGTCTCATAAAAACTAAGAAATAATGCCTATTTAACTTTTCCTGAGCACTCTTAATATTATCTTTCTTAAAGCAAAGAAAAATTATGGTGCAAATGATCTCAAATATTATCTTGTCTGATACTCGTCATACAAGGGTCAGGTTAGACCTGTTCTCTTAATGAAAATATTATGAAAATTATATATCTTTGCAAACCCAGAATGTCGAAATAACGGTTTCAACCTCCGTGGCGCTCAACAAGATTCAACGAGGTACGCAATAAATCTTCAATTTTATGGATAAAAGCGTAAAACTTGTTCGTCGTGAACTCAGAAGTCGCAACAACAATTGAAGTTTGAACTTATAACGTTCAGAAGAACAAGGTGCTGTATTATGCGCATAATATGGCGGCATGACCAATAAAAAATCGCCCCTAGATGTAATGAAATCCTCACAAATTTTTACATTTGAAATGAGATATACATACACATTCGAGTTAGAGAGAGAGAGAGAGAGAGAGAGAGAGAGAGAGAGAGAGAGGGCGAGAGAGAGCGAGACAGAAGTGCAAACTGCCAAAAATGAAAAAACATGAATAGACTTAAGATTTTTCAATTCTTGTCAGTTGCATTTAGGGGCAAAATACATGGACTGGACGCCATTATTTTGCTACTGCGCATCTTCGGGAATTCACCGGGTATTCACTAAAACAGAACAACAAGTCACGATTATAACGTCAAAATGACATTAAAATAAATCGGAAATGATCAAAAATGACTTTTAATGTTGTTTTAATGACTTTTAATTATTTGGAAATCATTTTGACATTATTTTGATATCATAATAACTTATTATTCAGCTTAAGTCGATTTTTTAATTTAAGATTATCTTAAATACATTATCTTATTATGAACGAATCAGAAAACTGTATTAATACATTAAAACATTACTTAACACAATTTTAAAATAAAAACTATATGAACAATTATAAATAATAGCCTAAGTGCTTATGGGAGATAGCGGTATTTTTTATATCTGTTGTACTTTGTTCCGATATTTATTATGAGTATTGAAAATTTACAGAGTCGTATTCAGAACACGTTTTATTAATAAGAGTGTGCATAGTATAAGCAGTGTTCAACAAATTCAACTATTGCGGAGCGGATCCATTGCACTATTGATTTATTCTTTTAGATCATTCAAGTAGCGAGCTCTCACTAATCCGCTTCACAACAGTAAGGTATATCCACACAAACTTGCATCGCCGCATAAAGTATGGATAAAGAAAATTATTCAATCACATTTTACGTACAACTTTGTAAGAGAAATGCGATTGAATAATTTTCTTTATGCATACGTTTATACGACTATGCAAATTGTGTGGATATATCCTAATGGCCGCAGCACAGACTATTGCATAACGCATAATGCATAATTCATAAGGGAATCAACCAATCGAAAATCTTCTTTTCCTTGGTGTAGAAGGAAAGGAAAGATTTTGATTAGTTGATTCGCTTATGCACTATGCGTTATGCATTTTGCAAAAGTCTGTTCTGCGGTCTATAAGTCTACTAAACGCAAATAGTATAAGGCCCATATTTAAAACGCGTTTACAACAATGTTAGCGCGCTAACATGCTATAATTTACGTTACGCTTACTATACAATTTTAGAGACAAATTTTATCGATAGAAACGCGTTCTCAATACAGGCCTAAGAATGTAAAGTGTTTCATTTCCGAACCACAGTCATCTGGAACATCGTGACTGGTCTTTGATCAAAAATTGATACCTGATTGGCTAACTTCACCGATAAAGACTATGAAGCTCCGCACAATAAAAGGAATAGGGAACAGAGAATAGAGAATAAGAATTTCAAGCTATCAGAAACTGTATATTTCAGGATACATGATTTCTGATAGGTTGAAATTCTTATTCTCTGTTCTCTGTTCTCTATTCCTTTTATTGTGCAGAGCCTCATAATCTTAATCGGTGAAGTTGGCCAATCAGCCTTATTCGTATAAGTTGGCTATTGATCAACTTCAGATAAGACTATCGATTATTGACTCATTGTAGAATTACACGCATTCTACAATAAGCCATTAATCATAAATTAAAAGTTAGAAACTAAATATTGATCAATTATAGTCGTTAATTTCCAACTTCTAACATCTGATTTATGACTAATGACTTATTGTAGAATGGCCATTAAACGGATAACACAAACTCATGCTTAACACATAATGCATAGTGTATAAGGGAATCATCCAATCAAAAATTTCTTTTCCGTGAATTGGGAGGAAAGAAAAGATTTTGATTGGTTGATTCGCTTATGCACTATATGTTATGCGTTATGCAAAAGTCTGTGTTGCGGCCCTTAGGACATCGAGTGATGATTTTTTTATTGGTTCCGCCATATTCAGGAAACGAAGATACGAGTGATAATAAGATACGAGTAAAATATTGTAGCTTATTGTTTTCTCACTCTATCTCATAATTATGTTTCCTTAATGGCGGACGCGCACGCGCGCGAGACAGGTGTCCTAATTTTTATTAGAGAAGCGCTAAATAATACATTCAGTGCATTCCATTAACTTTGGAGCGAGCACTTGATTCTAGTTTAGTCTACCGCCATCATGCATAATAGAATACTTTATATTCTAAAGGTGGATTCAGACCTACACAGAAAAGTATAAAGTAGAAAAATGGCAGCCAATCAGAACTCGCGCTAGTAGTCGCTTGTTTCGGCTTTCTGAACTGCCTCTGTATTCTATAATTTATTGTTCAATCGTTATGTATTATTATATGTCTGGAGATGGAGATCCAAACTCTAATGGAGGTCCGATGTCGAGTTTCTTTTATATACGGGACTCTAATCGCAGGTAATGTGAAATTTTTCTAGATTTCTATCATCTCTTCCCAGCAATCTTCTGGCGTTCTTTCTGGCGCCACTACGCGGCGACACCGACTGTCGCGAAGCGTTACGTCACGCAGAAACGACGTGCTAATGGTTAATGGCTTCCACGGCATTCGGTCGAGCTAGGCCTTTATGAGCGAGCCAGAATCCAATCCAAAGAAAACACATGAGACATGATGCGATCGGCCGATAGAACCATAAAAATATGATCGTCTGAACTCTGTACGATCACGACAGAGATTCATTTCTGGCCGGGGACATCGGTCGTCCGCGAATTACGTGCTGGAACTTGTTTGCGCGAAGAGGAAAACGACGTAACCATTACGCATTCTCATCGACCTTTCGTCATTGGTTTCGGCCCTGATGCGAACAACATCGAGACTCCCCGCGACGTTGCAGGACATACATCGCACGTAAGTACGATTGTGATCCCCGTTGTCGCGTTGTTTCCCTGATTTTCCTCAGTGATCGTCGGAAACTTTCGCTCAGAAAAAGAAACTGGGCGAGTCCGTGCCATGTAGGAATAATGGCGGCCGTACCAGTTCGTTCGTGATACTCATGGTTCCGCGTATCTCATTCTTTCTATTACTCATTGTTAATTCGCGTTCGGCTGAGAATTCGAGCGAGTGCGACGCGGCACAACGCTTATTAGCATAACGCGATCGTTCCGCTCGCAAGGTAAACACGTCGTTTTTATGATTTCGCTATATATATATATGCGCACCGTTAATGTGTGCGTGCGTGCGTGCCTGCCTGCGTGAATGCGTGTGTACATGTGTGTGTGGTTGTGATCGCGCGTGAGTGTCATACATATCCATGACGATCGGTTTCGAGACCTGCCAAGAGTGCCGAGACACTGTCGAGGCACGTTTAAGCAATAGCGTTATTTCTGTCATTTCCGATCATTTCCATCGATGTCAGGGTAAGCCAGGAAGGAGAGCCTCACGCTCATTCCTGTTAATATTTTCCCTACTCCTGCTCTCAGCGATGGCTGATGACAATACATCGCAATATGAAATTACCTCTATATGCTTAAAGAGGATACAACATATTACACATATAAATTTTTTTTATGAAAAAATAAAATGAATGTGTATGTATATATATAAATATATATTTGTATTAATATTTTAACAAAACAGTAAAAATCTTATAAATGTATTAATAATTATTATATGTATGTGTATGTGTGTGTTTAAAGAATACAGTCTAAATATAATAAATATGTAAACAGAACTCTACTGTTTATTTTCCTATGAAATTTTTTATTTTTATCTTTAGGC